TACAAAAAATTAGCTGGGCATGGTGGCGCTTGCCTATAATCCCAGCTACTCAGGAGGCTGAGGCAGGAGAATTGCCTGAACCCAGGAGGCGGAGGTTGCGGTGAGCTGAGATCGCGCCATTGCACTCCAGCCTGGGCAACAGGAGCAAAACTCTGTCAAAAAAAAAAAAAAAAAAAAAAAAAAAATTTGGAGATGAGACTTTTACGCCAAAATTTTACATAAGAAGATATATACTATGAATGAAACTTCCTTTTAAAGTCAAATGACAGAAAGCTCAAGCCCTGTGCATGATTTTAAAGTCTGAGAAAATGTCTAACTACTGGAGATGGGACTACAAGAGGAAAACATAAATATTTTAGATGTCTCCCATCTTACAAAGTTATTAACCTGTCAAAGCCACTCCCTATGTGCCAGGAAATGATCTGGCATAAACTAATCCTCTCAGTGGAGGAGGTCACAGTGACATTTGTATTATTAACGTTTTACACTTTTGCTTTTCCAAGAATAGAAGCAATATGTTTTTTTTTTTTTTTTTTTTTTTTTTGAGATGGAGTTTCGCTCTTGTTACCCTGGCTGGAGTGCAATGGCGCAATCTCCGCTCACCACAACCTCCACCTCCTGGGTTCAGGCAATTCTCCTGCCTCAGCCTCCTGCGTAGCTGGGATTACCGGCATGCGCCACCATGCCCAGCTAATGTTTTGTATTTTTAGTAGAGACGGGGTTTCACCATGCTGACCAGGATAGTCTCGATCTCCTGACCTCGTGATCCACCCGCCTCAGCCTCCCAAAGTGCTGGGATTACAGGCTTGAGCCACCGCGCCCGGCTGAAGCAATATGTTTAACAATTATCCCTGCCCCAAATCCTTAAACTCAGTATCACAGGCAGCAGAGTGTAAGCAAATCTGGGATGTTCTCCAACAGATATGCAATAGCACAGCTATGTTATTCTCAAAAATACTGTCTAGATTTTTTTTTCCTGTAAAGTCAAATGCTCAGTGGTCACACTTTTAACAGCTGGCACTGGGTGACATTAATTGCATTTATTATGTCACAGTCCATCTAAGCTTCCTTTTAGGTATTTTTAAATACATATGTTCAAGAGAAAACACCTGCTTCAGGTTTATTTAGGGGTAGTGACCTATAAGGACATCAACTCAATTTTTAAGGTTAGACTATTTTGGGGTTTACTGAATAAAAAGGAACAGGGGAAAATACTAAATTACAGCAAACCTCTTTAGGTCAAAGGCCATATCTCTAGCTGGGATATTTAAAAAAATTAACCTCATCAGCCCATATTCTTTTTTTTTTTGAGACGGAATTTCGGTCTTGTTACCCAGGCTGGAGTGCAATGGCGCGATCTCGGCTCATCGCAACCTCTGCCTCCCGGGTTCAGGCAATTCTCCTGCCTCAGCCTCCTGAGTAGCTGGGATTACAGGCACGCGCCACCATGCCCAGCTAATTTTTTGTGTTTTTAGTAGAGACGGGGTTTCACTGTGTTGACCAGGATGGTCTCGATCTCTTGACCTCGTGATCCACCTGCCTCGGCCTCCCAAAGTGCTGGGATTACAGGCTTGAGCCACCGCGCCCCGCCACCAGCCCATATTCTGAAAGTTAATGCCACTAGTAACAATCAACAGCAGGAAAAACAAACCTGCTAACAACCAGCCCACTTATTAGAAAAAAAGCAGTTTAACTCAAATACTTAGACAAAAGTATAACACTACCTAAACCAAACTGCCCCGCCCACCAGCAAGAAGAGAAGAAATAATTGCTTAATAATCAAAAGAAGCTTAGTATTTCTTACAAGGATAACCATGTTCCAACTGCCGAGAGAGTGCTCAGAAGTACTGGGTGGAGTGAAGGCAATGCCTCGGGATTAGTATCCCACAAAGTCTTTAAAAACCCAAAGGACCACAAACACTCAATTTGTCTATGGATTAGAGAATAAGATATTGCTGCTGTTGCTTTTTGTGTTTTGAAATATACAATATTTTGTGGGCTCTGCCCTTCAATGTGAAAGCAGGACATTAAAATTGAAATTACAGGCCGGGCGCGGTGGCTCAAGCCTGTAATCCCAGCACTTTGGGAGGCCGAGGCAGGTGGATCACGAGGTCGAGAGATCAAGACCATCCTGGTCAATATGGTGAAACCCCGTCTCTACTAAAAATACAAAAAGTTAGCTGGGCATGGTGGTGCACGCCTGTAATCCCAGCTACTCAGGAGGCTGAGGCAGGAGAATTGCCTGAACCCAGGAGGCGGAGGTTGCGGTGAGCCGAGATCGCGTCATTGCACTCCAGCCTGGGCAACAAGAGCGAAACTCCGTCTCAAAAAAAAAAAAAAAAAAAAGAACAAGGAGGGAGAAAAGGTTTAAAAGAAAATGTGGGAATCAGTGGGCCTCTCTTTTATTTGATGACAAGTGAGTGCAAAAAGTTCATTTGTAATTTGTTCAGTTGTCTGTCTTTTGCACATCTGCATTCTGACCAGAAGGGACTTTGAGGTTTTTCTGCAGCACATAGGCATCTTCGGGCTCTATCCTCACAGTAGTTCTTCTTTGTAATTCCAGCACTTGGGGAGGCCAAGGAGGTATCCTTGATCACCTGAGGTCAGAGTTCAAGACCAGCCTGGCCAACATGGTGAAACCCCATCTCTACTAAAAATACAAAAATTGCTGGGCGCGGTGGCTAACACCTGTAATCCTAGCACTTTGGGAGGCCGAGGTAGGTGGATCACCCGGGGTAAGGAGTTCAAGACCAGCCTGGCCATCGTGGTGAAACCCCATCTTAAAAAAATAATAATAGGGCCGGGCGCGGTGGCTCAAGCCTGTAATCCTAGCACTTTGGGAGGCTGAGGCGGGTGGATCACAAGGTCAAGAGATCGAGACCATGCTGGTCAACATGGTGAAACCCCGTCTCTACTAAAAATACAAAAAAATATTAGCTGGGCATGGTGGCACGTGCCTGTAATCCCAGCTACTCAGGAGGCTGAGGCAGGAGAATTGCCTGAACGCAGGAGGCGGAGGTTGCGGTGAGCCGAGATCGCGCCATTGCACTCCAGCCTGGGTAACAAGAGCGAAACTCCGTCCCAAAAAATAATAATAATAATTAATAATAATAATAATACAAAAATTAGCCCCCGCCCCGGCGTGCTGACAGGTGGCTGCTTCGGAGGCTGAGGGAGAGTTGTTTGGAGCCAGGAGGCAGAGTTTAGTTCCTATTCCTAGTCTTTGGTAAGGTGCCAGACATCCTAGTGTCATGATGTAAAGTCTCTTCTGATTCTGTGAATGATCTACTCTACAGCATACCGCACCTAAAGCAGTATCACTGAAACAGACAGGTTGTGCTACCTACAGCACATCCTTGCAGAACTTGTCATTGTAGTTGACTGGAAAGATGACCTGATTCAATCTTTTCAACCGTTTAATATTGTGCGGTGTCACATCTCCCAGCTCAGTGCGGCTACCTTTCATCTTTCCCGCCTGCTGAGGCCGTAGTTACCACCGATGTCCACGAGGTCGTCGTCGTCGCAGCCGCCCTCAGGTCTCCGCGCCCTCAGCTCGGGCCACTCAACCCCGCAAACCGGCCTCCTAGCCCGGGCCCGGAGCTGAGCGGACGAGGAAGGCGGAGAGAGTCGAGCGAGGGCCTGAGTCTCTGGTGGAGGCGGGCGTGTCTCCAGCCACCACGCTGGCCCTGCGGCTTTTCCGCAAGTGCACTCCCGTCTCTCAGCTCCCTCCCGCCGCTGCCGCCAGCCAGACCCGCCGCTCAGGTAACTTTCTTTTTCCTTTGGACTCTCCATACACAGGAATCAAACGGAATTGATGCGTAATAAGAATCATGCTCAATCAAAGACATATCTGATGCTAAAAAATAAATTAGTTAATTAAAAGAATCATGCTGAAGACACAGTCTGGGCCTGGCAGGGTGGCTCACGCCTGTAATTCCCGCACTTGGGGAGGCCAAGTGGGGTGGATCACCTGAGGTCAGAGTTCAAGACCAGCTTGGCCAACATGGCGAAACCCTGTCTCTACTAAAAATACAGAAATTAGCTGCCCGTGCTAACAGGCGCTTGTAATCCCACCTACTTTGGATGCTGACGGAGAATTGCTTGGACCCAGGAGGCGGAGGTTGTAATGAACTCGAGATCCCGCCATTGTACTGCAGCCTGGGCAAAAAGAGTGAGTGAGTGAGAGAGAGAGAGAGAAAGGGAGAGAGCGAGAAAGAGAAAGACGGAGGGAGGGAGGGAAAGAGGGCGAGAGAGAAAAAAAAGGGAGCTGGAGGGAGGGAGGAAATCTGCTGCTGGGCAGGAAACACGCTCCAGTCAGAAACCTGCTTCCAAACTCAATTTTCACAGGAATTATTACTTCAGTGACTCAATCACCCACAAACAAATAGAGCTGTGTAATACACACTTGGAAACAATTATACGGAATGCATATCTCGAAAGCATGCTTGCTAGTAGTATCTGTAGGGAATATTCTTGTTTGTTTAACATTACACTGTAAGCTGCCCATGATTTCTGCATAAGAAACTGGGGAGAAACAAAATAGCAGGAGAGGAAGAGGGGGAGAGAAACTTAAGATATGTTTTCTGTGGAGTAAGAGGTCTTCCTCACAGGAAAATGTCTACTTGGAATTTTTCACAGACCACTTCAAATTACTCAACTGAATATCTGACTTGGGACCTCAGGTCCACACTATTAAACAGCGCTGTTACGGAAACTCGATACATGTCAGCTTGCATGAATGAACCCACACACTTGAATTCCCCCTGTAGCTGTGTCTTGAAATTAGCCAGCAATCCGTGCCGGTTAGTTATCTGCTCGTTGCATGTGTAGATGAATAAACAAACGGTTTGTCGTTTTACTTAGAACAGGCTACCGAAACACATGCAAGAGTCTAAGTTACTTCGGACGGGAAGTGAGGGGTGCGACTGGGGGGAGGTAGGGACTGCGGACTGCGGGGAGGCAGAGGAGGGGGTTCGGCGGGCGGGCGCCGCGCAGCTCACCTTCACGCGCTCATAGTAGCTCCCGGTGCGCAGCAGCTCCACGCCTTTGAACTCGGACTCGCACTGCTGCAGTCTGCGCAGCAGGTGGTCCACAACGCTGTTCACCACTTGGGCCGCGGTGGAGACATCTTCGCGACTGAGCCTTAACTTCTCTAAAACCGCCCGGAGCTTGCAAGTCCGCGGCGCCAACTCCCTTCGGCCGAGCATGGGGCCAGAGACCGGCAGGCCGGGGCCGGGCAAGTCCCAGGGCCCGGGCGGGGGTCTGGGTTCCGCAAAGCAGCGCGCACCCCTCGCGCGGCGAGAACCAGCTCTGGAAAAAGCCGGCTCCAGAGCCGCGGGACGCTCCCGCACCATCGCGCCAGCTGCGCTGGTTGCGTCCGAGAGCCGCGCGTCCTCGGCGCGCTGAGGGGCCTTCTTGGGGCGGGCACCCAGCTCGCGGGCTGGCGGCCTCTCCTGGGCGTCCTGGGCGCTCTTCTTCTGCCCGGATCCCGACTCCCTGGCGGGGCCGAACTTTCCCGCGTTGGGCCGGGCGGCTTCGGGGGCAGCCGAAGACTCGTTTGGGTCCGTCGGGGCGCCCCTGGCACTTGGCGCAGAAGCCTCGAGAGCGGTGGCTCCGGCCTCAGAAGCTCTCCGCATGGCTTTTCCGTGCCGAGGCTGCATGGTTGGCGCTTTCTGTTCACCGAAATAATCAATTTCAGGAAAAGGCCGCGAGGGGAAGAGCCAGCAGTAGCGGTAGGAAACGAAACACTACTGGCGGGAAGGAACCCCAGGCTGGTAAGTCGCTGGGAGCCACGCCCATGCCACAAAGGGGTTGGCCGAGGCCGTTCCTGAAGCTAGAAAGTGGTGGAAGTTTCTCACTGTCCAGGGCAATCCGTGCCCCTGCCTTCAGAAGATGACATAGGGCCGGGCGCTGTGACTCACGCCTGTGACCTCTGCATACGGTAGGCTGAGGCCGGCAGGTCCCTTAAACTCAGCAGTTTGAGACCAGCATGGACAAACCAGCAAGGCCTTGTCTCTCTTATAATAGTAATAATAATAATAATAATGACAACAACTATAATAATACAATATTTTAATTTTTAAAAGTTGGCCGTGCGCGGTGGCTCACACCTGTAATCCCACCAATCTGGGTGGCTGAGGTGGGTGGATAACCTGAGGTCAGGAGTTCCGCATGAGCCTGGCCAACAAGGCAAAACTCCGGCTCTACTAAAAATACCAAGATTAGCCAGGTGTGGTGTGACACGCCTGTAATTCCAGCTACTCAAGAGGCTGAGGCTGGAGAATCACCTGAACCCAGGAGGCGAAGGTTGCAGTGAGCTGAGATCGCGCCACTGCACTCCAGCGAGGCTCTGTCTCAAAAATAAAATAAAATGAAACAAAAAGTTGACAGAGACTGGACGCAGTAGCTCACTGTAGCTCACCTGTAATCCCAGCACTTTGGGAAGCCGAGGTGGGTGGATCACCTGAGGTCAAGAGTTCGAGACCAGCCTGACCAAGTTGGTGAAAGGCCATCTCTTCTAAATATACAAAAATTAGCTGGGCATGGTGGTGTGTGCCTGTAGTCCCAGCTACTCAGGAGGCCAAGACAGATAATTGCTTGAACCCAGGAGGCAGAGGTTGCACTGAGCCGAGATCACACCACTGCACTCCAGCCTGGGCAACAGAAGGAGACTCCCTCACAAACAAACAAACAAAAAAAAAAAAAAAAGAAAAAAAAGAAAAGAAAAGAAAAGAAAGAAAGAAAAAATTGACAGACAATTTTCCCTTTCAATTAAAAATTGTTTTTGTTTAATTTTGTTTTGAGTCAGGGTGGGGAAATCTCTGCTCACTGCAACCTCCGCTACCAGGGCTAAGCGATCTTTCCACCTCAGCATCCGGAATAGCTGGGACTACAGGTGCCAACACCATGCCTAGCTTTTTGTTGTTGTTGTTAATTTTTTATATAGATGGGGAGGTCTCACTATGTTGGCCAGGCTAGTCTTGAACTAATAGGCTTAAGCGATCTGCCTCTGCCCTCAAAAGTGTTGGGACTGTGGCATGACCCACTGTACCCTGCCACGGAAACTTTTTCTTTCTTTCTTTTTTTGGAGATGGAATTTTGCTCTTTATTTTATTTTATTTTTATTTTTTTATTTTATTTATTTTTTTTTTTTGAGACGGAGTTTCGCTCGTTACCCAGGCTGGATTGCAATGGCGTGATCTCGGCTCACCGCAACCTCCGCCTCCTGGGTTCAGGCAATTCTCCTGCCTCAGCCTCCTGAGTAGCTGGGATTACAGGCACGCGCCACCATGCCCAGCTAATTTTTTGTATTTTTAGTAGAGACGGGGTTTCACAATGTTGACCAGGATGGTCTCGATCTCTTGACCTCGTGATCCACCCGCCTCGGCCTCCCAAAGTGCTGGGATTACAGGCTTGAGCCACCGCGCCCGGCTGCTGCTCTTTTTTTTAAATGCATTTTAGGTTTGGGGGTACATGTGAAGAACATGCAAGATTGTTGCATAGGTACACACATGGCAGTGTGATTTGCTGCCTTCCTCCCCATCACCTATATCTGGAATTTCTCCCCATGCTATCTCTCAACTCACCACCCCTCGCTGCCCCTCCCCTATTTCCCCCCAATAGACCCCAGTGTGTGATGCTCCCCTCCCTGTGTCCATGTATTCTCATTGTTCGATACTGGCCTATGAGTGAGAGCAAGCGGTGTTTGATTTTCTGTTCTTGTGTCAGTTTGCTGAGAATGATGGTTTCCAGGTTCATCTATGTCCCTACAAAGGACACGAACTCATTGTTTTTTATGGTTGCATAGTATTCCATGGTGTATATATGCCGCATTTTCCCTGTCCAGTCTATCATCGATGGGCATTTGGGTTGGTTCCAGGTCTTTGCTATTGTAAACAGTGCTGCAATGAACATTCGTGTGCATGTGTCCTTATAGTAGAACGATTTATAATCCTTTGGATATATACCCAGTAATGGGATTGCTGGGTCAAATGGAATTTCTATTTCTAGGTCTTTGAGGAATCGCCACACTGTCTTCCACAATGGTTGAATTAATTTACACTCCCACCAATGGTATAAAAGTGTTCCTATTTCTCCACATCCTCTCCAGCATGTTGTCTCCAGATTTTTTTTTTTTTTTTTTTTTTTTTTTTTTGAGACGGAGTTTCGCTCTTGTTACCCAGGCTGGAGTGCAATGGCGCGATCTCTGCTCACCACAACCTCCGTCTCCTGGGTTCAGGCAATTCTCCTGCCTCAGCCTCCTGAGTAGCTGGGACTACAGGCATGTGCCACCATGCCCAGCTAATTTTTTGTATTTTTAGTAGAGACGGGGTTTCACCATATTGACCAGGATGGTCTCGATCTCTTGACCTCGTGATCCACCCGCCTCGGCCTCCCAGAGTGCTGGGATTACAGGCTTGAGCCACCGCGCCCGGCCATCTCCAGATTTTTTAATGATCGCCATTCTAGCTGGCGTGAGATGGTATCTCAATGTAGTTTTGATTTGCATTTCTCTAATGACCAGTGATGATGAGCATTTTTTTTGAAGTTAAATTCAATAAGATAAGGTGATTTAATTCATAAAGAACTGAACCCGTTACTACAAAAATATTGCCTGAATTGGTTTTGCTGCTGTTGTTATTGTTTCTCAGTCGCCATTCTAATCTAAATAAAAAACATGGGAAGTAAGCAAGTGGGAGAATATTTAGTGTTACTAAGCAAGACACATCTCTTCGCTCTTCTCGTAAGAGCACTAGTCATTTATTTTCCAAGTTCCTGGAGGAGAGAATTACTTATGAATCTTTCAGACGAACCATCCTTTTATATATTGTCCCTTAAGAGACTCCAAATCTCCAAACATCTTGACACAGTTCCAGTATGAAAGGTTGTTGTATTTATGATCATTGCACTGGTTTCCAGAATAAGAGGTCATAGAACAATCACAGGTGAAGCCCTCCCATTGTTGCATGCAGACCCCCTGGTTGGCACATGAATCTTCCTGGCAGGTGGTACTGGGTCCTTCACAGCTACGCTCAATCTGCCCACTCCGATGAAGAGCGTCATTGATGAGGTCTGGCAGGCATCCATTCAAGTCCACTTACGCCACACAGCCCTGAAAGCCATCTCAAGAGGCCACGAGCTTTGGGAGATTGCTGTACAAGCCTGGGGCCAGACCAGTCATGTAGAGATCACCTTCCTTTTATCACATTGCTAAATGAATACTGCTTTTTTTTTTTGGAACTGCTACAAACAAAATTAGAAGAAAAAAAGGTCAAGCAGTTTTCACTTGTCACGCCAGAAGCACACTTGGGCTGCAGTCACAGAAATAATTAATGAGATTCGCTCCTGTGACCTCAGCAAATGGACAGGAAATAAGTCCTTATGGATTGGACGGAGCCAGGGATGGCGCCAGGGCGGTGGCCTGTGGTTTTCCTTCTAGAGAGGACAAAGCAGGCTGGAAGCTGCAGGTGTAAAGAGAAACGCTCTCAATACCAACCAGGGAGGATTGTCAAATCAAAAACTAGTGACTAATTTCCCATAATGGAAAGTAGTTGAATGGATTAAGAAAAACACGTTTTATTTGTTGCCTCGAAATTATGTCTCCAGATTTTTTTTTTTTTTTTTGAGACGGAGTTTCGCTCTTGTTACCCAGGCTGGAGTGCAATGGTACGATCTCGGCTCACCGCAGCCTCCGCCTCCTGGGTTCAGGCAATTCTCCTGCCTCAGCCTCCTGAGTAGCTGGGATTACAGGCACGAGCCACCATGCCCAGCTAATTTTTTGTATTTTTAGTAGAGATGGGGTTTCAGCATGTTGACCAGGATGGTCTCGATCTCTCGACCTCGTGATCCACCCGCCTCGGCCTCCCAAAGTGCTGGGATTACAGGCTTGAGCCACCACACCCGGCCTGTCTCCAGATTTTTTATTTTTATTTTTTTTGAGACCGAGTTTCACTCTTGTTGCCCAGGCTGGTTGCAGTCTTGGCTCACTGCAACCTCTGCCTCCTGGGTTCAAGGAATTCTCCTGCCTCTGCCTCCCGATTAGCTGGAATTACAGGCACCTGCCACCACGCCTGGCTAATTTTTGTATTTTTAGTAGTGACATTGGGATGCGCCCTGGATGTAGGGCTATTGTGGTCCTCTTAGATGTGAACACCCCTGCAATTTTAGGCTTAACAGAATGGGGGCAGATGGTGCTTTGCCTGAGAACAGAATGATCTTCCCATTTATCCGGCCCCCAAGACGGCTTGAGAAAAAAATCCATTTTTCTTTGATGCAAAAGGCAAAGGAGTTTGATGTCTTGGACCTCCTTGGTGCAAAAAGATTTCCTCCAGGTTCCTTGCAACATGTAGCTTGGGGTCTCCATCCTTTGAGGCCTTAAGGCGAGCGTCCCCAAACTAAAGCCCGCGAGCCGCATGCAGCCCCCTGAGGCCATTTATCCGGCCCCCCCCGCACTTCAGGAAGGGGCCCCTCTTTCACTGGTGGTCGGTGAGAGGAGCACAGTATGTGGCGGCCCTCCAACGGTTTGAGGGACAGTGAACTGGCCCCCTGTGTAAAAAGTTTGGGGACGCCTGTCTTAAGGTGATGGAGTGAGTCATCGTGACCACCCCGAGGAAGATGGGACGTGGACAATCCAGCCTTTCAGACGTGTATGCTCATAAAAAAGTGTCCATCGCTGGTAAGCTTCAGAAAAAAAAAAATCATAGGCCTCCTCCCGCCAGCAGTGGACGCTGCCCCCCATGGTGGTCA